GGCGGGGGCCGGCGGGGGCCATCAACCACTGAGTACCAAAGTATTGCCGTCCAACAAGCACAATTCAGATCAGTTTATCAACAGACACGAACCCGCCATCGAATTGTTTCACTGCAATTCGCAGGGCCACCGGGACTGGATTGAGCAGTGGGACGGCAACGAGGAGGAGCCGGGGCTGGTCAGGGGCTGGTTCGACGACAGGCGCGCCGGGGGCCGCCTCAGGGGCGTCCAGCTGGACGGGAGAGGGGAGGGGGCGGGCCCGGCAGGCTCGGCACGCTTTTGGCCCGGTGCCGAAATGCTGCGCCGCCGGGGGCTGGACGATCCCCCCCCCTTTCGGCACTCGCAGCTCTTTGGGGAGCTTTGCCGACGCGGCCCCCTCACCCACACCCACCCACACACATGCATGTGTCTCACCCACAACACCACGCACACATACACATACACCCAAACATAAACCCCGCACAGAACATCTACACACATACGGTCACAATGCGTCCCGCCACACATAAACAAAACCACTCGCGCAGGGTGGAGGCGCGCAACGCCCTCTCCAAGCTCGAGTTCCTCTACTCATTAGTCAACCTCGACAGGTCGGAGCTCCCTTGGTCCCAGGCCGGCGCCGACACCGACCGCTCAGCAATTTGGGAGGAGCCCCTCCGGGACGACTCGGCCGGCGCGGCTGGCAGCCGGCGGTGACGCCGCGGGGGCGCCGCGGCGCGGCCGGGGCGGTGCGGCGGGGGCGCGGGGCGGCGGCGGCTCGCCGCGTTTTGGGGGCGGCCGCGTCCCGGCTGGGCGCAGGGTTTTTTTGTGCTGTGCAGGATAGGGAGGGCTGGGTCGGCCGGCAGCCGCTTGCTTTTGCGTCTCTCTCTCATTTGCTTTGGCTTTCCTTTGTCAGGAACCTCAGATCCGAACCCCGGCTCCAGCTGGCTTTGCTGGGTCGTGGCTGGCCGCTCGACTTCCGGGCGGCAAGGGTTTCCATGTGTAATCATTGATCCCCCAAACCCTGTGTTTATCGATAGCATCGGAACAGCCAGGGCCTGCGGCGACGCTCGCACGCTTGACGGTTTATACAGGCGGTTACAGGGGGTTACAGGGAACACGCGCGCTGCGCCGACGCCGCGTCCTCGGAGCAGCGCGCTCTGTCGCGCGGGGCGGCGCCGCGAGCGGCGGGCGCGGCGGTCGCGGCACGACTTGCGGGCGGCGGGCCGCGCCGCCGGTGCGCCTGCCGGACCACTGGGCCCGGCAGCCCACACGGCCCAACGCTTCGTTGTTCGCTTGTGTCACAAGCGAACGCCCCGTGTTATTGTCTATTAGGCAGGACCCCCCACTCCAGGCGGCGCGCCGGAGCGCTGGGCCCCACGGCACCCCACCCTGCGCCTCCGTGTACTGCCGCCCGAGGTCAGGCTGCGGCGGCGTCCTTGGCACGGCTGACCTTGGCCTGCAGCCTCGTCAGCGCGTCCTCCAGGCTGCTGCGCGCGTAGGTGCTGAGCAGCCACCCCGACACCAGGCCGACCGCGTACGCCGCCGCGAGGGCGCCGGCGCCCTTTGCCTGCTGGCTCGCCATCTGCATTTGGGGGGGGGGGCGTCCCGAGTGACGCGCTGGGTGGGTCGCAATCGCGGGTGGGGCTCCGCGCGTGCGCGCACGAGGGGCGTTATGCGGGGTGGATTTGGGAAGGAGAGCACGGGTTGAGAGTGCGCATGCCTGTGGGCGCTGCGCCACGTGAACGGCGGCTCTCTGTTGTATCGGCCGGCGATGGGGTTGCATGTGCCAAGCAAGAGGGCGGGACCACCCCGACTGATGCAGGGCATGGCGCGGCGGTGGCCGAGGCAACTTTGTCCGGGCACTGACGCAGGTGCCTGGCCTTCAATTCAATACGTCTCCCACTCAGTGCCAACATATTTTAGGTTCTCACAGTGGCTAATCAGGAGAGCGCTTCACGAGGAGGTTGTTCCAGGGGTTGTTGTTGAAGCCGCGGTGCGGGAGCACCTTGTCGGGTGATCGAGCCGTAAAATGTGTCGCGGTATGTTTGCGACCTGTCGCATCCAGTGCTCCCCACGCAGGGAGGCAGGTTGACCACACCGCCGCTGGCGATGACTAACAATCCGACTGGCTGGCGGCGTGGCTGCGTTGACACAGACACGAGAGCACATATGACCCATTGGTGGATGTGCTGATAGACATTGTGTGGTGCATGCTGCGCTGCCGGCAGCCCGCAAGGGCGGCAAGCATGTCTGGATGTGCACATCGTTGCAGGCCGTACCGTCGGTACTCGCCTGCGTCGCAGGTGGGGACAGGTGGTGAGGTTAAATGGGTTGTAGGTCACCAGGAAATGCAGAGGCAGAAGCGGCTGCACAATGTGTGGTTCCAGTTACTGACAACACTCACCAGCACACTCCACTCCAATGTCATGCCGACACAGAACGTGGCGCAACACCGCAGCCAACGCTCCATGCTGCCTCCCTCCCCTCGAGAGCTCCCACGCTTTGCGTCCTCTTGCACAGCACCATCCTTTGTTCCGCCTCACCAGAATTATGCAAGCATCAACAGAACAATCAGGCGGTGAGTGATAACGACGCATGTGGTCCTAGATGACATCACGTCACTGGGTTTCTCGCATGTCTTGTCTTGTGTTGGACCATGCCGCACTCCTAGCCGTACCTGGCAGTCGCTTTCGCTACAGTATAAGGGAAGGCGTTGCGTGCGATCTCGCAACCTTGCAGGAGGGCTGCTGCGGCGAGGTCCCCAGTGCAGCCGCACGGCCGTAGGCATGTGCATGCAAGAAAGGTAGCCTGCACGCAGAAGCGAAAACCAGCGTCCCTGGTCCCGCAGCATTGGTGATGGCCCCGTACCCGCCCTACCAGCGATGCGTCAAGTTGGGGTAGAGTGCAGTAGTGTGGAGTAAACTGGGCGCTGGGCACCCAGCAAGGTTTAAGGACGTGCGCAGGGGTCAGGGCGACCGCCGGTGACCCCGCCGCCCCACCGGTTCGAGGGGCCCAAGGCCCCCTGCTGGCGCCCTCATCACTTGAGCGCTGCTGGGACCACTGTCGACATCGCCTCAGCAAGTGACGCCCCCCACATGCAAGAGCCCCCACCTGCCAAAGACGCCGATTGCGTCCGCACTTTGTATGCTCGCCGCCATCCAAGTCAAGTTGGCCGATGCATAGGAGCAGCTGCAGCAGCCAACAAGATGGAGCCCGCAGCGGCCTGCGGCTCTTGCCCCCCTGAGCCCTCACTCACGACGAGCCAGCTCACTCTTCAGCCCACTCAGTTGCAACGTCCTGGGACCCTTTGTGCATGCAAGCTATTTATTGTGGTTGATGATCGTCGCTTGGCAACCCCGTTTCGAAGCCATGATTCGTGACCGGAAACACCGACATTGGAGCTGAGGCGAGCTTCATACACAACAAATGTGCCACCATCGGGATTTGATTGTGGTGCTGCTGGTTGTACTGATCACCCGCGCGGCGGGTGACGCCTGCTCGTGCCCCAGCACGCTTGCCGTGTGCTGCTGCGCGCCGCCAGCTGCGGCTGCCCTGCAGCGCTGTGCTGCGGCGGTGTGCTGCCTGCTGTGGTTGTGTGCTCCTGCAGCCACCAGCCTGTGTGTTACAGAGCTATCTTGACCCGGCACGCGCCTGCGCGCCCCCCCCGGACCTGACCAAAGGGCCACGACCCGGAGGGCCCCCCACACACGTTCATGCACAAATGCCGACCCGCGCCGCCGCCCGTGCTGCTGCCGCCGCCGCCGCCGCCGCCGCTGCCGCCGCCGCTGCCGCCGTCGCCGCCGCCGCTGCTACCGGCTGTCGCTGTCAGTCGCCGCCGCCCGCGCCGCCGGGCCCTGCGGTCCGGCGGCCGTTTCACGGCTCCTGCAGCATCTTCGTCGCCGCCGCCATGGCCTCCTTGCCGCTGCAGTAGATGTACTGCCGCACCACATCTGAGCGCCAGCGTCCCAGCACCATGATGTACCGCAGGCTCACGCCGCAGCGCGCCGCGTGCGTCGCGCCCCCGCGCCGCAGCGAGTGCGTTGCATACAGCGACGGGTCCTGAACGCGCCCCTGCAGCGCCTTGCGCACCCGCCACGTCACTGTCTGTTTGCTAAGGGGTGCCGTCTGGTCGCGCCGGGCCAGGAAGACGTACCCCTGCCCGCCCTGCATTTCCTGAAGCTGCTGCAGCGCCGCCACAATGTCCACGAGCGCCCCCTCGGCCCCCTTGGCCGCAGGGATGTAGACCCAGGCGCCCGCCCCCTGGGGGTCAGTTTTGGAGCTGGGCACGAAGATCATCACGCCGCCTGAGCGCGGAAAGTGCACGTGCTGCCACTGAATGCCCACCAGCTCGCCGCCGCGAAACATGCCGTAAAACCCCACATAGTAGAGCACCTTGTCCCTGACAATCATCCACTCGTCCCGCTGACCCTCCGTGTAGTCCATCATGCCCCCCAGCAGCTGCACCGTCAGCGGGAGCTTCTGCTGCACGTCTGCGGGCGCGACCCTCGCCGCCGCCTTCAACGCCTGCGCCACCAGCGCACTGCAGCGTGGGGCCCGCAATCCCTGCGCCTGCGCCACGTGCCCCAGCGCGGCGAGCCCCGCCTCGATCGACGAGAGGCGGTGCTTGTGCTCAGCGCGGCGCTGGATCCAGAACGCGACGCCCTCATCTGTCAGCTGCGCCGACCCGTACACTCTGGTTGCAAACTCCTCGTACAGCCGCACCTGCCCGGCATAGCCCTTCGCCGTGGAGGGGGCCAGCTGCTTTGCCAGGAACCCCTGCAGGCCCGCCCGCAGCTGCGGCAAGTTGTAAGCGGCCTCCCCCCAATCGCGCTGCGGCACCGCCCGCTGCTCACGGCGCCGCTGCGCCTGCACAGCGCCGGCGTGCGTCACAAACTCGTCCTCTGGGTGGG